CTTAGAGTAGTGCCTGAAGATTACTTCGTGCGGCTATAAACGACCGTTAAATGAAATGATGAATTTTTGAAGGATTTTGGAAATGGAAAAAAATGATAGTCATGCCGGCCCAGCATCATCAACATTGAAAAATGCCCCGGCACGAAGTGGTTAATCTATCTATTTAAACTATGTTAACTTGGTTGCATCTGTTTACTCTCACTGCAGCGGAACCCAGAAAAGGGCAAGATGACAGTATATATATTTCGTCAGTATTCCTTTCCTTTCTGGTATTTTATGTATGGGTCAAAAATGGTCCATGCGCATTCAATAATGTTTTTTTGGGGGGGGGTGCAATTTGAATTCATGTTACACACTTGTGTTTTTTATGGCAGTTCATGGACCTTGTAAGCACAGATTTGGTTTGTAGTGTCTGATCTGCCCAAATCTTGCTCCAACTCTTTCTGTTTGATGGACTGTCTTGTCTTAACACTATTTGCCCATGTCTGCACAACCGGTGTTTGCTAACCTAAGAGTGCGCAAAAACTAGTGCCTGTGTTCATCAAGAATTGTACAAAAGGCATGCTCATCACTTACTTTTTTTGCCTCTGTTGTAATGCTGTGCTAAGGGGTTCATATTGCACTTGTAGTGAATGTTGGAAGCAACAGCTGCAACCTGTCACTCCATAGAAAAAATTACCCCATTGCTCCATTTGGATTTTTTTTTTTTAAAGAATTTATATACCTGAACTTGAAAATTTGTCATTTTGGTCTAGTGAACAGCCCATAGGATTGGATTGATAGTACTCTCCTGCACTTTATTTATTGCCACAGAAAAATTCTAAAGCAGTCTTCATTTGTAATAACAGTTAAGCATTAAACTTGACCACCATCAGACATTAGGTAGAAAATTATTGCTTGCTTGCTCCAAACTTCAGTAATGCAACTCAAAATCTACACCATTGTACACTAAAAGGCACTTCATGATGGGATATTACATAAGAGGTTAAGCTTTTAACATTACAGTGTAATATTTCATTTTACATATATATACTTTTATCAATGTGTTATGTAAAACAGGTTTTTAAAATTTGCTTGACATTACCTGACACATCTTTGGGTATTTTCAAAGAGTTAAGAAAAAACATATTCATGTATAGGAGGTATGTTTTCTGAATAAAAGACAAAGATCTTGAAATAGGAATTTGTTATTGATTATCTGTTTGCAATAGAGTACCGAGGTGTGACATCATTTTGAACCATGGAATGCATGTGCCTGTTGGATCACGTGCTAGTTCTCACACTAATGCCGTTTACTTACATAACTGTGCATGTGACATCGTCATTTCTGTATTCTATAAACCATGTTATATGTTTTACCATTCTCATGCAAAACACTAACATTTATGTGTGCCACATGGTCCTGTATTAAGTTTCTAGAATGCGGGTTCTCTTTGCAAACATGTCACAAGAAGTCTATAGCTGAGGTTTGTTAAGGCCCGCAATCGACAGGAATTTTTACGCCAGTATTCACACTCAGAAGTAGCTGACCATTAGGAGCAGGAAACCGCAGTACAGCACAGTCACAGCCACCATCAGCCCCAGGACTGCGCCCAGCCGCCACCCCATGTTGGCAATCTGCCCCACCATGACTCGCTCCTGCCGACCCCACCATCTCCAGTGGTGCAGTCCCCCCCTGTTGTGGCTGGCCAGCATCTGATTGATCCACAGCGTGAGAGAGGCGGGCGTACGGTGGCCGGGCAGAGGGTAGAATCTGTTGAGTGCTTTCCGTTCGGCCTGTTTGCGGTGTGCTATCAGTCGCGGGAAGGATTCTTCAATTGCTGCTGTCAACTCTGAAGAAAAACGAAATCACAGTTTAAAATTCTTTGAGGATTTATGTCCATTTAGATGGAACTAAGAATTGCAGTTTTGGTTGGTCCAATGTGTTCTTCCCTGCATAAAATGCAACATGGTCATGGTCATCACATACAGGTAGTACAGATATTTAATTCTAAAGTTAATTAGTTTTCTATTAAATGAAGACAAAGCAGGAACTGAAACCTTGCATCACTCAACTTCACTACGGAACTCTAACTGGTAGAGTCCCAAAACTAAATAATATAAAATAAACATGTCATGATACTCTTGTCAGTAGACCACACACTGCCATCCACTCAATAAGCTCGGTATACTTTTGGACAGTATACGTCCGCTTTGTGTAGGGCACACTGCTAGTTTGACTATCAGTGCTGTGCTCAATTCAAGTACGACAGCATCTTTTGGAAAAAATTGCCGAACTCCACTTTTAAAAACTGCACGACTCACTGTTGTCAGGCGTGGTGCTTTGTATGCTCGTTCGGCAGAGTGGGCAGGGTGTGGTGAATGTCATCTGGGTGGTGCAGGCCAGGCGACGCAGGCAGGGCTCACAGAAGACATGCCGGCAGGGCAGGCAGTGGTGGGGGTTGAGGTAGAGGTCCAGACAGACAGGGCAGGTCAAAGCCTCGCGGACCGACGCACTGGACAGAGAGGTGTCCAGGAGGGCCGAGATCTTGGCGGGGTCACAGTCGAGCATCTGATCCGGGGTAAAACCAAAACACAGAGAAGTCAACTCGGGCACAAAAGACGGTAACTTTTAATCGAAGCAGTGTCCTGTGCCCAAGAGCGGTAGATCTGTGGCAATGAATGGGATGATGATGATGGGGAAAAATTCTTGTGAAATTTCCGAAATGTTGGCAATTTAACGAGAAAAAGGCAGAAGGAGGCTATATAATGACGGAGCAAAAATCAAAGTAAATAATTTGTACATACCCTACACATTTATGTCCATTCCGAGTGGCTTGCACTATTAATTTTCTGTGCAATACAAATTTACAAGAGTTGTATTTATTCACTATACCCCTCTTTTCACCACACTGGTAAATACTAATTTCACTGTTACAATAAGTCACATTTGGACATGGACGTTTAATTACTTTTTATTACTAAAAATTGAGGGAGACGATACCATGATTTATCCCCCCTTCCCAAAAGTTGAGGGATGTACTCTTCACATGTCCTGAAGGACTCATTCCACTGTCTGTTTCAAGTAAGTGAAAGCCAGTAACCAGTAGCCACACTCTGTCCAAACAGGGTCCAATAAAGACCATAAAATGTTGTTGCCGAGAAAAACATTCTTTACTTACTTACTTTTTACTTCACTTAATGTGAGGAATACAAGGTAATGCACATGAAGTTGATGGATGGAGACCCCCAAGAAGCACAGCTCATCAAGTACTGGCCCCATGTATGCACATTTACAAACATTATCACAAATTAATTAGAAGAAGTAAATAAACAGATGTGTGCACGAGGGTATTTCCCGTCTACCAACTCCACAAAACAGACACTTTATTTGCAGTAAAAATATTACCAAGAGCTGCAATGTTTTGTAGAACAACAAACATAAGCTAAACACAGGGTGGGGCATGCTGCCCGCGAGCAGTGCTCTACCAGTCTGTGCTTGGTACGAGACTCCTCTGAGTAACATTTCCACCATGCAGTTTGGTGTATTTGGGCCCTGGTTGATTACATTTCATACCTCCTCCTCTGCGAGTAGTGCTCGTTCTTCCACCTCCTTCTCCTCCTTCCACCGCTCCCGCCTCCGCAGTTTCCTCCGGGCACTCTTCCTCTTGTTCCTCTCTCGTCGCTGCGCTCTCAGGACGGCTCGCTGGAGGCGGGCAGACACGCCCTGGCTGTCATTGTGGTTACTGTCCTGGCTTGCCCATGCCCCATCTGTATTCTCTGGTATTGGCAAAGCAAGACACGAACTGATTAGATTGGACCAGTGATGAAAGAGCAGGCTTATGGTTAATATGGGAACCGAAATTACTACACCTCATAAATATTCATGAGGACATTTTAGCACATCATTGGCCAATTTTCCGAGTGTCCAGGAAACAGAAGTGATACTTGGCCAGATGATTTCACACCGGTGAGTATCCAGCTTTCTGCCGTGGGGTATTTTTTTCTGGTAGCACCAAAAATTCCCCCGGAACCCACCTCATAGACATATAGTCTGTGACAGGTAATTTTAACAGAAACAGTCTCTTGTAGTTCTTGCCAGACACATGGAACTCTTAGCTCAGAAACAAATTGTACGTTGGCCTTGCATGCCTTGTTTTGTCAGTTTGCTCATGAATAATTTTATGAGGTTTAAAACAAATACAGCATGGTTTATTTCGCTGTCAGCCTGACTACCTCCCGACTCTTCACGTCAGAAGGTTTTCACGCTTACTCACAACTCAGGACTGGTGCATCCCTTCAAACCATGCTGTATTAGTATACTACAGCCCACCCCCATAAAAAAGATCATGGAGAAATGTCCAACTGATGAGTGGAAGGAAAAACAAACAGAGTAACATTTCCTGCTCATGTTTAATTGACATACATGTTAATGATAAAAACATGAATCTGTCAAAATCCACTCCTAAATCTGGCAGTATTTTGAAGAAATCTGGACTGTTATAACTTTACAAGGGGGTTTGATGATATGTCGGAGAGCTACTGCATGGTGATGATGTGGACAGATGCTGAAAGGCACAGAGATTAGGGGAATGAAGCAAAGAGTCATAGTGACTGTTGTCATGGTTACCATCCTGCTGCTCGTCTGTGTCCGTCTCACCCTCCAGCTGATTAATGTTGTTGCTCCTCCTCTTGGTACTTGGTGACGTCCCGTCCCTGTCCCGATCAAGGTCCGACAAAAGTTCATCAAGGACGCCTTGCCAAGTTTCGGGCAATGGAGTGTTCAGGGTATCCGTTAAACCACTGCTGGCCTGTTCTGAAACACTGCCCTCATCTGAATGCTGTAGGTTGAATGATTGTCGTTGAGCAGCTTGGGCATTTCTGACTGGTTGTTTGTTGAACAAATCCTCGCTATACAGACACAAAGAAGTGCTCTGGTTTGACTGTTGTGACTGAACTATCCTTCCAGTTACTTCTTCATCTGAAAATTTATCAGTTTTCATTGTACTAGGGTCGCTTTGTGTGTCACTGTCATTTAACATAGTCACATCACAAAGTGCATGCCCTGTTCTGCTGCGCTTTGCCATAGATACATCATGCTCTGGAGTACAGAAACCAAACTGTATAATCTCATCAACCGAGCTAGTGCCTGGAGTGCAGGGTGCATACTCAGCATTAGTACACGTATTTCCATTGCTGGGTTTTGGCCCTATGTGACTGTTTCCAAGGGTCTTCTCGGAAAATGGTGGGCCATCCCTGCACAGTGCTGTCCTGAGTGCTGACCGGTTAACTGGAACTCTTAAAGTTGCTCTTACTTCACAATTCATACGATTGTTTGGGGTGCGAAGTGCCTCAATCGCTAATTCGGAATTTCTTGATGCTGGCTCAAAGTTTGATGTATTTATGGCTCCTTTGAAAGATGTTAGTTTATGCTTTTTGGAATAATCCTCAGCTACAGAATTCACGCTATTCTCGTGGCACAGATCTTGGTCAGCATTTACCGATGTGTCAGACAATGATCTGGCCTCTAACTTGACCCTATTGAAATGGTGATGACCCTTTGGCAGAGCACTGCCACCGTTCTCTCTGAGATGGTCACTGCCAGTTGTCACGGCAACTGTCTCCAGGGTGCTCACTGGAGAAGCTGCTGCCTTTTGACCTTTGACCTGTGATTGGTTCGCCCTCCTCAGATATGCTAACATGGCCTGGGATGCCTCTCGGTCGACTCGGCTGCCGATGATGTGAATGCAGGACCTGGCCTGACGCCGATCAGCAGAGCGCCTACTGCTGGGGGTCAAGAAATCAAATGACCCCAGGCGACCCCTGCACTTGGGACAAGCAAGCTTTCCCTTGGTCCACCGGGCCTGTGCAGAATTAAAGCAAAGAGCTACATTAAATGACTATTGTTTGATATAACACACAACATGCATGCAATATGAACCCTACTCCAGTTTATGCAAAAACCTATGGAAAATAAACTTTTTTACGCTTTGTATGACTTTTTGCATAATTTGTATTCTAAAGCAACGCATCATCAAAGCTGATATGCCAGAAACTGAATTGCACCATCACTGTGTAAATTACAATAAAAGTTTCTCAACAGACAATTTTGTCCAGTTTTTGGGTGCGATTCATCAATTATTCACTGATTTTGTATTTCATCCATTGCAAAGAGAAAATAGATTCTGCCAGCACACATAGAACATGACAGATGGCACACACTAAAGCACTAAACCAATTGGCCAGCCTGAAAGCAACAATATAGAGCAAGATTGAATGATCACTATGCTTATATAGTTTGACCACTGTCACCCAAACGATGGGTGATTTGTCCCATTTAATCAACAACTAAGCCCTGGGGCATGGTCTCACCGCTGGTTATCAACAACTGATTTAATTCATCAGCATTGGGGGAAACCGTCATCGCCATGGCGTGTACATGCCATCAAAGTTGCAGCCAATGGCAAAAATGTGAGTAATGATGAGATTTTACAGAATAGATTGACTAGGCTGATTCCAGTGTGACTGTATTGTGTGTGTGTGGTTTTAAACAGTTGCCCGATGGTCAAACTATAGTCTGTGCCTGGCTTGCCAAATAGTTGGGACTGCTGCTCTGGTGTTGGGGTGCAACATCCGCGTGAATACCTCTCCAATCGCACTCTGAATCCATGGTGGTATGGCATCATTGCTGATATACCACAGTGCACAATCAGATCTTGACTGATTCCCATGAAGCTGCGGTGTTGCTATGCCATCTGGCAGGGCAGATTGAAGAACATTGGCAGCACTGAATAGAAACTGTCGACAGCGACGACACTTGAAAGATGGATTGTCTTTTAGGTCTGCTGATGAAGCCATGTTTTCCAGAAGCTCAGATCGAGTGGTAGCCTAGCCTGTGCTCTGTTGAGAAATGCATGCAGAGCACACTCGGGGGTACACATTCAGTTGGAGGGTCACCATTGTTCTCGGTGAGGCAGCTTGACCAATTAAAAGGTGGGCTCTATCATTTTCTCTTTCATTCCCTCTCGCCGTCAAATGAAAGCTACATTTTAATTGGTCGAACTGCACATCAATGCTAGTGACCAACTACAGTACAGCTTTGATTTTATGGTGCAGGTTTGAAACCCTCATCAGATTGCATATTGCAGGAAATGGTCATTTCAGAAATATCCCGACTGTGTAGTATAGTGGAAATGTAGGGGACGTGCCCCCCTCCCACAAATTCCCACAGTTCACGATTTTGTAGATAATTTTGCCATCTGCCTATAGCCTACAGTTTCTGACTCACAGTTCTGAGACTGTTTCGAAAGGGAACTTAAGTTGGAGATTTTATGCAGAATCGACAACCTGTGCAGAGCAATAGGGTGATCGTGCAGATCGGCCAATCATGGGTGCGTAATACTAACATGGTTACGAGCCTAGGATTAATTCATACCATTATGCACCATGTAGACTATACATAGTGCAATGTCTGATATGCATGCAAGGTTTGAACTTCGACGAATCTCTTTGCGTGACGGATATTATATTACGGGGCAAAATATATCATCGTATCAAAATGCTAAGATGAAAAACTTGGAAATAATTCCATATAGGCCGATGGCAATGCCAATGGATGCCACTTATTTTTCCCAGCAGCGACCTACAAATATTACAGCCAGCTGAAACTTTTGCATACCACCATGGAGGAAGGAACACATACCACTGAGGAAGGGGCTAAAATGTTGCATCCTGACTCCACTTTTCTCATCATATATCATCTCAATAAAGTCAGTCATTTATGCTAGAAAGACACGAATTCTGAATGCATGGTCCTACAGGTAAATTTAGCAGGGAAAATATCAAAGTTTGATCACCTGAATATGTAGATATATGCCCATAATTAAGCCTTATCGCAAATACTGCATGGGGGATTTTACACAATGGTAGAAAGGCATAGCGGGAAGGAAAAAGGAGCAAACATTGCCCCCTTTTTCCTTCCCACAATGCCATTCTACCATTGTGCAAAATCATCCATGCAGTATTTGCAATAAGGCTTATACTGTTATAGCCTATGTTGGCCTATGTACCTTAGTCCATGCTTAGCCTTAGCCTAACGTTAGGCCGCCAATTCAGAAAACTGAATTTTTCAAACCATGCAGTCAGTTTGTTGTGCACAGGGTGTCAAGTGGCGTCCATATTTGGAATTCTTTCCAAAACCTTTCCGTGAAACACTCTTGATGTGGCACTTGCAAAATCTTCTGGACAAACGCCATTCCGTGTTCGTCACGTGAGAATCGCCCAGCAGCTGGAATGTATATGTATGTACGTATACGCGTTGATTATATTTTTTGGTGGCAGCTGTTCGCAGGTTTTTAATAGTGCGCCCTCTCATGCCGCGTGGACTGAAATTGGCCAAAGACTGGTTCCGGCTTCAAATGCAACAGATGCAAACGATAATTGATGGGAAACCATTACCACATGTATTCCGAAGGGAACACACCTGCACGCACGGACGTGACAGCGCGCGCTACCGGTATAGGCGACTCGGTGTACTCACATCATATCACGCTGGGTGCGGACCAAATGTTGGAAAACGGTTCAAAATAGTAGCTATCTTGAGCTTTGGTGAAGGATAACGCAGTGTAGAACGGCCTGTTTTACTTCAAGGAAGCGAAAAATTTCCAGCCCTTAAAAACGCCGCAAAATACGGTAAGTTTGTCGCTGAAAGAGAAGGGGTTGTAGGCCTACTTAGAGAGTCGACCTCGACCGGCTGTGAATACTTGTTAGGTGAATCATGCTCGGCGTGTGGGAAGGGTTAGACGTTTCGCGTGTGGTTAATGCATTGAACATACTTATGCACGTATGTGGGAGGGGTAAAGATAATTAGGCCTATTAATGCTGTACACGGCTACAAGTACCGGGGGCTGAGAAGTGCAGCTAAAACTGTCAAAGGAAAGTAAGCTGTTGCTTTGTTTTTGTTATTGGAAATGAGAACAAGTTCGAAAATTAAGTGTTCGAAATAACTCTTGAAAAAAGCGTGTTTGTGTCTCTTGGTTCCAGTATGGAATTCATTTCATAATCAAATCCATCCACTATCAATATGAGATTCCACAGTGTTGGTAGGAAGAAATGACACATAAAATATGGTGTTACCTGCCTTGTTTTAACAACCATGTGCAATGCTAGTGGTGCCAAAATAATACAAGTTTGAAGAAGTTTGTGGATAAATCTATCATCTAATTCAAGAGATGGTTATCTAATGCTCTGAAAAGTGATGGAGGAAGGCTGTTCTTTAGGCATTGACTGGCGCTTTTTGAAAAGCATGACAAGAACTTTTTATTGAAAAGGTGAAGCTTAAGTTAGAAGAAAGCTTGCTTCTGAAATATCTCCCAAAACAAGAATTTTGAATGCCGAATTTGTTTAGAGGGTTTTATCACATGCAGTACATGTAGTTAGATTGGATCATTGGATGGATCTCTCTAAATACCACATGTAAACATATTGCCTTCTATACATACATGTAGTTAACCCACAACTTGAAAGGAATCACACAGAATTTCACAGATTTACTAATTACCTACATGTAAAAAATCTGTATACTTTTTTCATATTCTCAGTCACTGTTTGTGTCCATTGGGTTCAGGCAGTGACACTCACAGTTTAACTCTAAATTAATGTAATGTAATGATGAGAAGTAATGTGATGATTGAATGCAGGCTCTTCAACTCAGGTTGAGTTGTCATTTTTAGCCTTTCATTTTTGTGGGATATGATATGGTGCTTTTCATCATTGAAGAATTCAAACTGTTATAATCCTGACCTTTGTTGTCAACAGGAAAAAAAGGACCTGTTCATAGTACATGTACATGTAGGTGTGTATGATGACAGGCATTATACTGGGAATCCACTGAATTGACTGCATTTAGTTTGTAGTCGTATTTCTGCATGAATACAGATTTCATTGAACCAGCAATCAACATTTCTCTCTGACGCAGTATCGCAGACGTGTACATTTTACAATGCAGGACCTAGTTTATGTTGAATCAGTGGGAAGATACTCTAGTTAATTAGTCAGGTCCACATCTGATAGAGTTCCCAACTTTCTCAGATTAATAAAGGGGAACTTTAGTGCAGATTTTTAACATTGGAACCCCAGTTTGGTAAAACGTTTTCAGTATTTACCAGTTTAAAGAAGCAAAAAGAAAGTCTATAAAAAGTCCACATCCTGTCATAAAAGTTAGTTCATGAGAGACATTCAACCACTGGAGTTTCCTTTTCTGTTTGTTGCTTTTGTGATGTAAACATGTGTGGAGAATGTTAATCATTCAACCTTTCAAATAGCAAAGTTCATGAAATTTTGTGCCTTCACAACAACTCGAAAATGATGTCGCGGAACACTACTTGCTACAACCGCTGGCCCTGCCCATGACCACCTTAGTACAACACAAATGGTTAACCTCCACAGACTATCATCAAGCCTATATGTACTGTATGCACACAGTTATGTACAATGTACATGTATAAACTCTATAGTTTTTGAATCGCTCTTGCCTGTGGACGAGTATATAGTATGTATAGTTGTCATGCAGAACTATATCCATGTAGAACTTGGTGGAATGTACTATAACCTCCTCAGCTTTTCAACATAGGAAATCCCTGCATGTTTGATAAGCAAAGATTGTTGATTTGAATGTGGGAAAGAGATTTTGTACAGTGGCAGTTCTCCACTTTATGGCAACACAGACAAGATCTTGAACAGTATAACAGGCAGAATTTATACAAAATAGTAGATGATATTAAGTTTAAGTTCTTCAGTGGTAATAGTGTAAAGTCAGCAAAACAAAGCGACACAGATATACATGTAAGCCCAAATAACACTAAGTGTTCTTTTATCGTCTCAATTCTGTTAAAATTCTTACACTATATTTAAACAGAAAGGGGTTCAAGTTGTAACTAATCCTAATTGTAGAAGGACAAACTTGGCACTGTTTGCAGTGCGTGAAATAAGGCCTAAAAAGTGGTCTGATAAAATGTTCTAATTTTTTTACTCTGAAAAGTTTCCAGAATGTCGTCCAAAGCACAAAACGGAGTAACGAAAGAAGAATTTTGCTCTTGTGACTTGTATGTTGTAATGTTTCCTCAGCACAGTTTGTCCGACCACAGCATTGTTTTGCCATATCATAGAGCTATTAAACAAGCAGTGTGTAAATGGTCAGATACCAGAAGTGGTCAGAAAATGGCTGATGGTCAAACTGTAATTTATACTCTGTGGGATTACTATACACTGTACTTGTACTGTACATGCACATGTTTACATACCAGGTAGTGTTGGACCTTGTACTAGTACCACAAATAAGCAGTGGGCTCCCACTGTGGGCTATCCACCCCACCCGCCTTTGTGATGATTAGTTAATGGTCTACTTTATTGCATTTCTGCTGGCCATAATAAAACTGGTCACTGCAGCCTGCAGGTGTGTTAGATTTGAATTTACCTGTACCTGTACGTCTGTAAATGTCCTGCCAGACTTGTGTTCTGTAGTACCGTACTCTGTACATGGTACTTCGTAAATTGTACAGTATTTTGTTGGCAAGCATGTCTAGACCACCTTGGTTAAAGGTTATTAACTTCTCTGCCAGTGTTTGTCCGAGAAAGGGCTGTGTGTCCTCAACACTTCCCATATTGTATGCAGTTTAGTGTGGGATGGAGCATGGAGGTAGGAACCTCCATGGATGGAGTTAACATTTCTTGGGTGAACTTTTTTTGTTTTTGAAATATGCCAGTGCCTGTGCAGAGAAGATGCTAGAACTCCAGTTGGAGATCTAATATTTTTGCACTGTTGATGATACATGTATCATCGGTAAGTCTTGGACTTGTCAAGGTTTAACTGTCAAGTGGGAGGTACATGTATACTGGTACGTGTCCATGAACAATGTACGTACAGTAGATGCACCCCCACAAATGACACTTTTCATAATCATAGTCTCTGGCATACATGTACCTTAAATTCATTGCTTTCTACTGGGTACATTTCTATAAATTCCTGCTGACTTTCTCAAATTCATGCATCAAAAGAGTTCTGGATATTGACATTGTTTTCTTTCAGAATATTTGGGAGCATTTTGAGAGAAACTCCCACGCTTGCACGGACTGCAGACATATTCGGTTTACATGTAGTATGCTACTACTGTACAGTATACAGTATTTGCTTCATGTGCATTGTGTGAGGAAAGTGTGCCCTGACTGGAATGTGCCATTTGTATTGTGACAATTGTGCATTCTGAGGATTCCCTACAGTTTCCTGCATTCAGTCCTAAAGGAAACCCTTCGTCTGGACCTCTGCCCTCTCTGCAATGAATTTGCCTCCCACTGGTACAGGTATTTTGGCTTTGTTTACTACTAAAGTGCCTTTCAGGGTCACTCCACCCTCCCCCAAAAGTACTTCCCAGCCCAGTGGTGCAGAACCAGAAGTTTGAAATAGTACAGACTGTTAATTTTTCCGGGTGTTTTCTGTGGACAAAAAGCTGCAGTGTTGTGTGTTCAAGAATCCTCCAGAATGTAGCAGCCATGGAGAAGTTACCGTTCTTTTGCTCTTATTTCTCCATAATAGTGGTGGTAATTTTGTTAGATTCAGACAGTGTTTTAGCTGAAACTGTAAAAGTTGAAATTGTTGCTCACCATAGGGGGTCAATCGTAAAATTAAAACGAACCGAGTGTTCGGACACCGTTTTAATCCTGCGAGTGCAACTCAATAGTGGTTTATCTCTGTTTCTCGGGTTCATTGTGAACTGCTGCTCATTCAGCGCGCGCCAGAGTTAGACATGTACAGAATTGTACACTAAAAGTACATTCGTCTATAGGACACATGAAGTGTTTGTGCCATTGGAAGATACTTCACCTCAGTTTGTCTGAAATAAAAATGAAATTTTCAATAGGGGCAATTCACAATAGTCCACCACCCAGAGATTTGCAACGCATTGGTCCATCACAGTGCGCAAAATCTGTCGACCCAATGTGCATTTGGGAAGGGTCAACAGATTTCAAGCATTGTGATTAGCCAACACGTCGCAAACTCTTGGAGGTGTACTATTGTGAATCGCCCATATTGTTCAATGAAATGGCTGAATGAAAATGCAAACCATGAAAGGTAAAAATCGCAGAACATGTCAAAATCTGCATAACCTAATGTATACATGTACATGTGCAGCAATAGTACATGTACATTGTAGCCCATGCTACTGTATGTTGACTCGCCTGCAGAATGCTGGACTACAACTACCAATGAAAGTGCTCTAGACAAAAGCCTTTGTGTATTAAAGTGTGGGTCATTTGGCTTAAACAAGA